TGTTAGTGGAGCAACAGTCTGCTGATTCTTGCTGACAAATTTCACGACCTTCAAAATTGTGCAGAGGGGAAAATGCAAAGTTGTTTTAAAAAGTAATTAATCTCAAACTTTAAGCCTACTCTGCCAACACCCAGCTGTTTGATATTCAGTTCTTGAAACAATGCCTGTTGCCACTTCTAGCTGTTCAAATGTACTACAGGAAAAGTTATTGCCTGTCAGGGGAAAACAAAAAACTTGAAGTATTAAATCAGGGTTTGAAGTTCAGATCTAATAAGAGAATCATTCTTAAGAATAAATAAGACTTTCTCACGAATACCCATGAAGTGAGTCTCAGGCAAATATATTTTTCACTCATTTACTCTTAACATGTGTTACAACGTCATTATATTTTTACTTTGACAGATGAATCGGTTGGCTTTCTGATGAGAACTGACGTTATAAGGGAGAAAACTACGACACTTCATAGTGAGGTCTATTTCTCATAAGGAGTGCTGGTGACTTGTGCCTCATTTTGTTGGGTTTTATGTCTGTCCTGAATGAAGCAGCTTCCAGATCATTCCAGCGGATAAGCAAATAGAAAGATTCAATGATTTCTGTTCTCCAAAACATGGGACGTTGAGCATGCAATCCTGCGACAGGAAAGTCTGACCTTCGAGCCATCGGCAATTGTTTCCACATGGACACTCTTGGCTTTCTGCAGGTACAGCAGCGCAAGGTCAAGAGTCATCTCATCACTGCAAATCTCATGGCACATATCTCTCACAGTGGTATACTCCACAATGTTGTCCATGTTTTCAAAGTTGCTGCATCGTTGGTGGAGGTCCAGTACAGATCTAGAAATCTCCTGTTTTCAACAAAGCATGAACTTGATGTAAGACGTGAGCTTCCACTCAATCTGTGATGTTCACCAATTATTTCCTTTTAATTATTTTCACTGTTTCCCTTTTGAAATACAAATCACTGTCAACGGTTCTGTCCGATGTGAAAAACTCAAAGAATATCAAAAACCAGACTTTTAACAACAAAAAATCTGTCTCATTTTGGGGAAGGTCTAGATCTGTAATATTGACATAATCTTCCACATACATCACATGAAATTGACGGAATTTATTTCTTTAAATACATTTTCTTTTCACCAGGAAGATCTCAACACTGTTTTGCATGCTTTACATACATTGATATAAAGGGTTCTGATATATGAAAGCCCTCACTGTTGTACACACTCTGTGTTCTTTCAACAACTGTAATAGTTGACGCAGTTTAATCCAGTGTTTGACATGTGCATTTGGATGGAACTGTTGACGCACCTTTAAGACATCCATGACGATATAGCTACCCGTCAGTGGCTGCTCGTTGCGCTTGAACACTGAGCCAACGGCCCAGGTCAGGGGTTGTCTCAAGAAGGTGTGGATGCCCCAAGAAAACCATGTGCTATTGAGACTGTTAGAAAAGTCGGCTGTGCTGACTATCTCACCAGTGCTGTATTCAGCATAAAAAATATATTTTTTAAGACAACACTAACACAAAATGTTCCACTAACAGACCTGTACCACAATGACATCATACTTTGTTCACGAGGGCTTTCTTCTCACAGTGGGGTAGGATGCGATTCACCATGTACCCGTAGGAAAGCGCACATGTAAACAAAGCGTTACATCATTATGTTACTGCAACGGCAGGATGCATTTAGTTTAAAAAAGGAAATTATATGTTGCATTAACAAATATGTAATCCTTCACCCAGGCTGCTGGCACAGTATGAAACACAAGTAATCTTGTTGAGTTTAGCCTGCATTTTTCCCCTAACAGGACTTGGGGACTTTGTTTTCATGGCTGTGGGCGTGATAGACTAAGGACCAAATTTTTTTTTTGGTGACCTCACTTTGCCATTTCTCGAAGCACCCTGTTGATTCCCATCGGTAGCCGGCCTTTCCTTCGGAACCCCTCCACCATCTTCTCGCAGTCCATCACGGCGCACTTGTCCTTTCTGCAGCAGTCCCCGACCAGCTGCGACCAGAACTTCAGCTTGTTGTCCCAGTCGTTGGGGTTCACTGTGCGATTCTGGCGGAAGTCCGAGAACAGATAACCCATCCGCTCGTCGTCGTCCCAGCAAGAAGGGAAACGGTCGGATTTCGTTGATTTTTCCGACATGATCGTAGCAGATAGGTCTGCAAAGAACTTAGAATACCACCTTTGTGATATTTGGGCTGATAGCAGGGAACAAAGTAAACAGAAATTCGTCGTTTTAGTTTACATTCTCACTCTGACGCTGACACACATCATATCCGTACATTCATTCGTAAACATTGATCAGATGTGAATAGTCTAGCTTACCTCCATGCCAGTTTAAACAGGTATTTGCGGCGGACACCAGACTCCATTGGATTGCCTAAAGCCTCGCTCTGAGAAGACAAGAAAGGTTCAACGGCGCTGATTGGTCGGTTACAGTTTTTGCAAGAGGCGCATATTTAAAATTATAAAAGGAATTCCCCGAACTTTGACACGTATCAGGCGGACTTTAAACGCTCAAATATTTGAGTAAAAGGTTTTTTAAGGAACGTTTTGAGCCGAAATGGAAGATATTCTATGTCAAGGTCATGGTAAGCACCTTTTCTTTATTTTTGTCCTTTACAATTAGGCGGAAAATAGCATCGTATTTTTATGTTCACGGACATGAGAGAGACTAGACGTAGGGCATGTAGGGAGACTGGTATGGTTTAAATGCCATTGATGTTCGCACTGGGTGTAGGCGTAATCTGCTTATTTTCGACACAAACTTTAGAAGCATAATTTGCTAGCATTGCGGCTGTGAAGTTGAAGAGTGTTGCACTTTTTTTTAAGTTCTCCCAACTACGCAAAGAGTTCCATATATGGACGCCAGTAATTATTCCCTAAAGTGACCTAGAGTACAGTAGGCCTACAGAAAACATGTCAAGAAAAGTTCAGTTAGCTGATTCGGAGGGAAAATACCATGCCATTTAGGCCTACTTAGAAAACACTTGGAATTTTTCAGACCAGTCTGAGAGGGTTTATGCACAGGATGAACTCTCTCCCCAACGACAAACAGCAGTAAAGAAAATGTTGTAATTTTTATAATGGCATGAATTGAACTGAAGTAGGCCTACATTGTTGACGTTGTAAAATATGCCAAAGTTCATTCTCATCCTTTTTTTATTTCAAGGTAGAATGAAATGGGGGGGGGGGTGAAAGTTTTTGAGATGTTTAATGGATTTTTTTTACCCTTGCTAACAGTTTTGTGTCTACAGGAGTTTTCACCCATCCATTCCAACACCCCCAGAACCATTAGAACTGTGGGGTCAGACGTCCACCCTGCTCCTAGGGCGGACGTTGGACGTCGGACCCCACACCCCAGTTCTGGAGGTACCCATCCAACAGGCGACATGAATTCAAAGCTCATTTGGTTAAAGAACTAAGTGAAGTCGCAATGCCTTGCAAACATTAAAAAAATGTAATCAAAAGTGACAAAGTAAAAAAGAAGAAAGCCAGAATTGAGCTAGAAGACAAAACCAGTTAATTTGTTCACTTCACCTAACTTGAGGAAACCTTTTTAACATGTTTAAGTCTGTCTTGTTTCAATAGGAAAAAACCAACAAGAACAAAATTGAGACACAGCTCAGAGAGATGGCAGTATAACCATTGTAATCATCAATTTGATGTACACGATGTACATTACTGATGCATCATGTCCTGCAGAAAACTAGACCAGTCCTGAACTAGTTGATGCATCCTGCAAGATTTGATATATCAGTTTATTTTGTATTATTCAGGGAAGCCGTGTTTCCTGAAGACGGGTACCAAGGAAGGACCCAACAAGGGGAAAAGCTACTATATCTGTAGCATGGGACCAGGGAAGCAGTGCAACCACATAAAGCAAGCAAGGTGTTGATGCAGGATTCCTAGCCCACGATCATCTCTAGCTATTCAGGAACTGAGCTAAGCTTAACAAGACCTCACTTTGGAGTACAAATAGGAACATCTTATGCCTGAACCCCCTAAATACATTTAAACTTTCATATAATCTTCTCGCAGTATAATTACATGTACCTGTATGATAAGGGATATTTCTTTGTTTACTTGAAAGAAACAGAGGGTTTTCTGTAGCATGGCCTATAGACTAATCCGATTAAACACCATAACTGCAGTGGAACAGCACTCACATACATTCTTCAGTGTGACACGCGCATATATTTGCAAAATCATGATATCCTATTAGTCAGAGGCATGTATCATGCGTGTACCACCTGTCCACAAGCATTGTACCACCACAATAAAGGCTTCTTAATTCTGGTTGCCAAATGACACTGTACTTTTCTTATCATTCCTAGACTACCGGTGTCTCGTTGCTTGGTGCATGATGGTGACATTGTGGAGCTGCAGGCACTCGGGACTAATCCTTCAACCGGGGAACAAAAGTGAGTATCCCGAAACAAAACAGTGTGTCTCAGAGACCGTGCACTTTCTCCAACGTATTTTGCTGTGCTGCAGGCAAAATCTAGCTCATGCTTTGCGTCTATCGATATACTTGTCATCATTCTAAGTTAAGCCTCTTTTTCGTGACTTCTGTCCAGGCGTTACTTTCGATGCAGCAAGTACAGGGAGATGAGCAAGGGGTGGTGCGGCTCCGTTGTGATCAGTAAAGTCAACCTGCAGGTGTGTCTCATGCCAGTATTTCCCTGCCTCATTCTTTGTAATTGATTGTTCATCTTGGCAAAACTCTGGCTTGTCGTCAACTTTGACCTGTGCCCATTTGTGTCCTGGAAATCATTTTGACAATCCTTTTAAATTTCACGTAGATAATTTTACTTGGGTGTACGTACCATTTTTTTCCGCTAATTCTTGTTATTAAAAAGACTAAAGTGATCCAGCATTCTAAATAATATAATCTTTTTTCCTCTCCGGACATGTAAATGATAGGGTGATGCCTTACAGCGCAAGCCATTGAAAGATTGCAATGGAACTCAAGAGTCTCAGGGAGGATTTAACAAACAGATTATGCCAAAACCCCAACAACAGAGAACCGGCAACACTGCAAGGACAGAGCACGTACACCCTCAGAACAAACCGGCTAGCCAACCAAATAAATCGGGAAGTACGTCAGTGAACGATCCCACCTCTGCCACCACAGAGTCAAGGATTAGAGGCGATCAGAGTAGGGGTCATGTGGTGCAAGAGGGTCAACGAGTTAACTCCAACGAACTGAGGCAGCATGCCGAGACTGTTCACGAAAGCAGGTCGACTTCTCAGGCCTCAGCACAGAAGGACAAACCTTTGCCAAAGACCGTGGCAGAGCTGCGGTCAGAGATGGACGAACTGTCGGAGAGCTTTTCCTCCCAGATGGACATTTCTGGCGGTGAGGATGTCTTCATCTCCAGTTCCTCGGCTGAAAGACCTCATCAAGGTCTTGCTGTTCCCAAATCTACCAGTGGAAGGAAGGCTGCTGGATATCAACCCAAGGAGTTAGTTCAAGACAGTGTCGGAAAACAACGAGGAGGGTCTGGGGACATTGTTTCTGCCAGAAGGCTTACTGAACAACGAACAGTGCCAGCAGCTGGCCCCGGAAATGATCGGGGAACAAGCGCAGGGCCCACCAAAGTAATCCCTAAACCTTCCAATCAGGTTAGTGGCAGTGGCAAGACAGCTGCGGCCAGCAGCCAATTATCTAGCAGCTCTGGTGCGACTGTGCAATCAAAACCCAATGCTGCTCCTGCAGCCGAGAATGCTGCAGCCCCTGCCGTCAATTCACTCTCAAAAACACATCAAACCTCCCTTGAAGCCAAGCCAAAAGAGGCACAGCTTGCCTCCGCCAAACAGCCAACTGTAGTTGATGTCATAGACCTCACATCAGATGACTCAGTCACACTCACAGAAGCTCGAACACTGCCGTCATCTCACAACCATGCCACAACAGTGATCCCAGCAACCCGCCCTGTTACACTCCCAATGTCAAGCTCAGCCAGTGGACAGACCAGCCTCTTCCAATCTTTTGGGAAGGTGACCTCTCAGAAAGAACAGACGGCACTAGCCGTCCAGAAGGACTTACAGCTCAAACATCAGCTTCTCAGAGATCTTGACAAACAGAAGGTGAGCAGTGATCCCACAGTGACCTTTTTGGTTTTTAAAAGAGTTCAGAATGAAGCTTTTTGATAATAAAGCTAAATATTCAGTCAGTCAATGATTTATACAGGAAGGCAGTACTTTGGAAAGTTACCCGGAGACACACTTGGAAATTTGCTTCATGTTGCGTTTCATCTTCAGATTTACACTTTGAAAACTTAGCAATTGAATTAAGAAAAATTGAGATTTTTTTTCCCCAATATTTACTAAGTTCTCTTTACTTTGAACAATCCTTACAATCACTTCCGTTAACCACTTGATTTCTTCTGATTTCAGGTCATAAGTAACAAAGAAGACAAAACCTTGCGCATTGGAGAGTATCATTTAGCATTGTTTGTATTTGTCTCAGCTCTAAAAGCTCACGCTTCTTTGCCTTTTTTTTAAACCATCGTCACTTTGTCAACTCTCAGAATGTTGTCAAGACCGTTCCCCTCTCCATGCTGCCTGACAAGGGGGCCAAGCTAGTCCAGCGAGTGGCCTCCACGGAGTCACAGCTGAAGGAAGTTGAGGCCAGACTGCAGAGGGCCAAGATCGATGGTATGGGATGCTTGCTGGCCAAAGTTGTTTTCAAACGTGATACCATATTATCTTGAAATGAGTAGACATAAGAGGAGATTTTGTAATGCTTGAGCAAGTTTAACCTTAGAGGCAGACGCTTTTTCATTCTGTACCTTAATAACACTTTTGAAATTTTCCAGCCCCCCTCAACGGTCTTGATACCTTACTCTCCCCACGCCTTACCCGTGAAACAATATGAGCATTTTTACATCACACCATTGTTGGTCCTTTGTTACAGGACTGTTGCCTGCACAGACATTGAACGGAAGATTCCAGCCTGCGTCGTCATTATCAGGCCAGCCCACACAGCAGCAGTCCTACATGGCCTACCAGACAGCCTGTAAGAAATGCAAACCCCTTTTTCTCCGTCCAATGAAATTTGCGGTGCTTTTTAACAATTTTAGGATTTTTGATTTTACATTTGTGTTATCAGTACATGTACATGCCTAAAGTTGCTCTGCCTTTTTAAGAATGCATTTCTCTCAAAGAATGTCGGTTTGTCTGTAAAGCGCGCTCCACCACAGTGAGGGTTTTTTGTGGGGGGGGGCAGCTCGCTTGTAGCAGAATGGTAAAGCACACGCAGGGTTTCCCTGTAATACTCTGCCCATCGTCCATGGCACTTCAGTTTTCGTCAGCAACACCTTTCCGAATGGCTGTTCCCTTTGTAATGTTTGCACTGTCCAGCTCAGCCCCAGGCATTGACACTGTACGGTGGTCGCATGACAACTGTGAGACAGCGAGAGGTTGGAGCTATAACCAAGGGTGCCATCGACAAGCTGCATAGGTAAGCTCACCGTTGATGTCACTGCAAGCGTACACACGTGCCTTCCCTACATTTCAATTGATCACCTGAGTATGTTTACTGGTGAGAGACTTTTTTGGGGAGGGGCATGCTGCAGAGTGGGTACCTGAAGGAAGACGAATCTTACCGTGAGAAAACCTGATGTAAGTATTAAAATCCAAAAAGGAAAAAGGCTTGACAAGAAACAGCTAAATGTATATACAATAGTTACAATATTTGCAGTCCCGAGATACTTTATTTTTTAGACTCAGAACATCTCTTACAGTCTCCACGCTGATTTTTCAATTCTTGACATTTTGGTTCCTTCTGCTAATTAGTGTGACTTCCTAAGCTTAATATTTCTTATTTTCAAAAGGTTAACTTCGGCAGCCTTAGACCTTTCAGTAGGCTGTAGCTTGTGTACACTACTTAAAGGAAAAGCCTCTTGATATGCCACAGCAACCCTACCCCCACAATAATGGTCCCACCTGTTTTGTACAGCTCATAAATTCTTCTCTCAATTTAGCTCTTTGCAAACTTGCCCCACGGCCGACGCAGAAGCCGAGGACCCCTCGGGATTAAAGGTCAGCCTGATGACCCATCAACGACAGGCCCTGGCCTGGCTAGTGTGGAGAGAGAAGCAGCATCCGTGTGGGGGAATTCTGGGTAGGTATCCGCTGCAGCTCAAATTCGCAATAGTGTCACGGTGGAAGACGCAGAGCACATACTGACCAGTGGACTTTTTTGTCAAGTTGTCCTGGCCAGAGAACTCTTGATGTATTCTCTGCAACTTTGTTTGGTTTCCCACAGCTGATGACATGGGCCTGGGGAAAACCCTGACCATGATCTCGCTGGCTCTGTGGCAAAAACAGCACAGTGCTGCACCTCCAGAGAAAGCAGAAGATTCAAAGACAGGAGGTGAGATAGTATTCGTCATATGTCAGGCCTTTAGTTTAGAGATTTCACTTACAAAAGTAAATGAATTGGTTTGGATTGCTTCGATGCTACATTGTTGAAAATTTCAACTCATTAATGTGAAATTGTTGGACAGCTCAATCTGATAATATTCAGGCACTGTGAAGTTTGCAAGTTGTTTAATTTGCAAGTTCCATGGGAGTAAAAGGTTTCACTTGGTTTTCATTGTTGGCCACCGATACATGCTGAAGCCATTTGTAAAAAACACAAGCAGAATCCTGAGCTCTTCCGCCCTAACCTACCCAGATCCCCCAAAATCCACCAGAGGGTTTGGGGGGAATTTCTATGATTGAGTAAAGTACAGCGTAGCCACTGTTGCTTCATGTGGGGCTTGATTTCCTCTGAAAGTTAAAGTGCAAACGAATGTGCCACTGGTTTGGATGTAGTTTGAATAGCAAAAAATCTGTGTGATTATTCCATAACCAGTGCAGTCAATTTTGCACACCCAGACAAAGGTTTCATCACCTCCCAAGCCACCTTGGTCGTGTGCCCTGCCTCCCTCATGTCGCAGTGGCAGAAGGAAGTAGAGCAGCGCTGTGCACCAGGCCTCCTGACCACGTACCTGTACCACGGCACCAACCGGGAGCGCAGCGCCCGGCGGCTGGCCAAATACGACATGGTCTTCACCACGTACGAGATAGTTCGAAAAGAGCTTTCCTTCCTGTCTGCTAAAGAGAAAGGAGAGGAACCGGTGAAGGTATTTAAAATCGTCAGACAGATGCATTGGACCTTTCTATTAAACAGTAGTACATCCCATGCCAAACCCAGAATCCGTGTAGCCTGTACAAACCCTTCCAAGGCCTTCAAAATCCATTGTACTGGGAGTGATAGGAGGATTCTCTCAGATTGAGGAAGGCAGATCCCAAAGTCTGGTATCTGTACAGAATAAGGAACGTTCTATTGGGTTACTGCACAGTGTTTAAAAGATTTGCAGCAAAGTTTCTCGTTGACTTTCATGTGCACCTGTGAAGGTGCATATGATTGGGGTTGAACAGTAAGAAAACTGGTAACCACTTTCTCAGACACAGTCCTTTAAAATTTGTGAGCTTGTGGTATGAATGTCGGTAAACAATTTGCAAAGCGTATCCATCAGTTACTAGCCTGAGGTGATAATATGCCAAATGGAAGCTGCTCAAAAAATTCAACTGGACTCTGGATCTGTTGACTTCACAGTGTTCAAGTCGTTCAACAATTGTCCTCAGTAAAAAAAGACCCACAAATAATTTGTACAAAACTCCTGGCATGCTGACATTTCTGTCCACCCTACACAGGATGGCTCAGATCTGCCCTCCTCCCCAGCAGAACATCCCCTCTTGCTCCAGATTCTCTGGGAGCGCATCATCCTGGACGAAGCCCACAACATTAAGAACCACAAGAGCCAGACAGCCATGGCCGTGTGCCGGCTACGTGCTAGGGCTCGTTGGGCCGTGACGGGCACCCCCATTCAAAACAACCTTGTGGACATGTACTCCCTCCTGAGGTCAGTTCTGTTTTTTTTACCTTAACCGTGCTTTTGTGTTACTTGGTGAACTCATTATGTGTCTTGTAACTTTTGACAGGCAGGACAAAGTCCCCTATTGACACTGACTCTCCAAGAGCCTTCATAATCCATCAAGAGGTTGGGGGGGGAAATGGATTGACCTTCAAAGTCAGTCTTTCTCCAGCTGTCTGTGAAATGTACATCAAGCATAACGTGCTTCTTTTGATGCACTGAACAGATTTCTGAGATGCTCTCCCTTTGATGAATACAAAGTTTGGAAAAGGCAGGTCGACAATAACAGCAGTAAGTCCTGGAACCTTTTACGTAATTGAAGTCGTATCCTCCCTGTGTTGTCCTTCTTTCCTTCACACTTGGTGTCACCGTCACGTGTAAATTCTGCTATAAATTAAATTGGTTGGAGTTCTGAAAACTCAATAAAAGATTTTTACTGCTTCCATTGTAATAACTGACACATTATAATTATTTTTCCCCCAAAAAATGAGTGATGTTGAATTTAGGTTGAATTGTCTTTAGAAATTGGTATTTGTCTTTTTTTAGCGATTTATGCTTCAGGTTTCATGTTCTGAAGAATGGTCATAACGTCATGTTGCATTTCTACCAAAGACAACCCAGGCATTAATATAGTCCACGTTAATCTTGTCCACCCTAATGTAGAGTCCGGTAGCAACAGACTGAATGTTCTGGTGAAGAGCCTGCTACTCCGTAGGACCAAGGACCAGAAGAACACAGCCACAGGCAAGCCGCTAGTGGCTCTGCCCGACAAGAGCTGCCATAGCCACCATATAGAACTGTCTGCCGACGAGAGACGGGTTTATGAGAAGCTCTTCAGAGAATCAAGGTACTAAACTCAAGTAATTGAGCAGACTGTGTCAAAGTGGAGTACATTCCCGTGAGTGTGAGTACTTCACCACGAGTAGGAGTATGAGTGCATGGCATTTTCGAGTGCGAGTGCAAGTATATTTTCATGAGTATGAGAAACAAAATGTGTACTCCAGTGTGAGTACAGAAACCACTTGCTGCCGGGTGGTTTGAAACATGTAGTGCACATAATCAGGACTTTTCAAGATTTTCAGTTTTCAAAATTCTTCAAAAATTCATCGTTTCAATTAAAGGACGTGTACACCCACATGAATTACTGTCTGGTGGCCACTCTAGTCTGACAGACAAAATCTGTTGATGCCCGAGTATTTCAGCCAGGCCTGCAGCCTTGTAAAAAGAGCCACATTGTGCGCTATATATATATTGTGCATTATATAACTTTCTTTTGTTCACGAACCTAGAACGGTGCGCTGCTGACCTCTTTTCAATAGGGGCCAGATTAGCATGCAGCAGGGCTGTGTGGCTCATCATTGCAGTGGTGGAGCGCTTTTGTCCCCGGTGGTAATCCGCCCGCACTAAATGCCCCAAACCGTGGTATACTGTTTCAAAACAAGGCTGGATTATCTCCACTATTGCGAGTGAAAAAATGTCGGTAATGCCTAGCAGCCTGGCCCTTTGTTCCGAGTACAGTCTTTTGTTACAAGGCCCAGTTCCCTTTGCCTGATTTCGGAGACCCCGGCCACGCATATAAACACACAGTGCCCGAAACCGAGCCCCCGGCATGAAGTGGTTAACACAGGAGTAAGGCACCTATTGTTACAGTAATTGTGTGCATAATGTTTGATGATTGTCTAAAGAGGACTGTATTCAAAGCTCAAAGCTACCTGACCTAGTACTCACTATGAAGCTTGAGACAGCCGACCACCTTTGGCACCTGTGCAAGGACCCTACAAATTTGCAAAACCACCCCTGCATTGTGTCTGGAATGGAAGTTGCCACATTTTAAGCTAGGTTTTACATTTCCATTCATGCTTAGAAACGGCTTCTTCAGAACTTCCAAAAATGATGACCACATGTCTTAAGATTTGGATGTGTTTATCTTGTTTTACCCCTCGAGATCCAAGGTGCAGAACTACATCCGCTTCCACGAGGGGAAAGAGAAGGCTCAAGGGTCGGGGGTCACTAGCAAGACCCCGGCCCTATTCACCAGTACTGGCAGCGCATCAGTGGCCACGGGTAGGGCACCAGGTGGGGCCGCAGGCGGGGCAGTCAGAGGCACGGCTCAAGACCAGGAACAGCGCATGCATGCCAGTCACATCTTGGTCTTGCTGCTTCGGCTGAGGCAGTGTTGTGGGCACCTCAGCCTTCTCAAAGAGGTAAGAAGGATTGATCGTGAACATTGGAGTAGAGTTGGAGGAGATGCCAAGTAGTCGCTGGTGATGGGGCATCTTCTGGTATTCTTTCCTCATTCAGTAATGAGAGGTGGATGTTGGTGGACACCCATGCATGAGCGTAATGCACAGTGGCAGTCTTTGCTGAACAAATCAAACATTGTCATTGGCTGGGGTGATACCATCATACATCATTTAATTGTCAAAACTGGTATGCAAATGATGTGGCCACCCTTCTCAAGAACTTTATTCAAGCATTCTTTGCTCGATTAAGCTGCTGAATAACAGCTGTCTGGGGGCAGTTTACCTTTAATAATAACCCCAACTAGTGGCTGGTTTTTAAAAAGTGAGGCTTGGGGGGGGTACACAAAGCTTGACTAGCTTTTTATGATCTCGTCCGAGTTCATTTCACTCCGTTGCCATTCCGAGGATTGCTTCTGTTGTTTTCATGACGGATTCCCAGGCTGTCGACACCAAGAGCTGTGAGCCAGAGGGCATCGACTTGGACCTGGTGGGCCAGATGAAAGAGATGGCCATTGGAGATGAGGAGGGGGAGGAAATGAAGAGAGGAGACAGGGAGGAGAGGATCGCATCCAAACTGTCCATCTTTGACAAGATGATGCCCAGCACAAAAGTGGGGCTTTTTGTTTTTGCTTTTGTCAGTTTGTTCCTTTTTTTGTCCTGTGGAGGCATTGCTAGGACTATCCTAAGCCTGTTGATAGAAATATATTCAGTTTAACCCTGAAGTTCTAACCAGATTGTGCATACTCTATGCCAAACAAAAACAAACAAGTAAGAGCATGAAGCATGTTGGTACTTTAGGATGTCATTCATAGATGACAAAACACCTTCTCTTGTTGAACCAGACAGGCCCTATCTTGAACCAAAACAAGCATTCTGCCCTCTTGTGACCAAGGACTCCACAGTGAAATTGTTCCCTCGTCTCCCCAAAACTTCAGATAGCAGCAGTGCTGTCCACCCTGGCAGACATCCGGCGCAAAAGCCCCGCGGGCCGGCCTATGAAGAGCGTGGTGGTGTCCCAGTGGACCCAGATGCTGGACGTGATGGGGGCCCACCTGACCGCCGCCGGCTACCGCTACTGGAGCATCCGGGGCGACGTCCCCCCGAAGAAGCGGGCTGAGGCCCTGGATGACTTCAACACGGAGCCCCGGGGCAGGGAGGTGATGCTAGTCTCGCTGCAGGCCGGTGGGGTGGGGCTGAACCTGATCGGGGGCAACCACCTGTTCCTCTTGGACATGCACTGGTGAGCAGGCATTATTCAGTCGCTCAATTAATTGACCATGTCAAGTTCAGATGATGATTATACGCTGCCATTTTATCTTTTAGCTGTTGTGCTTCTTGGTCAGACGTTCCATAGCTATCTCTGCTAGGGACCTCTAGGAATCGTCAAAACTTCCCTCCCCCCCGAAGAAACCAATGGCATATTTATACTGTAGCTTTCAAGAAGCATGGAGCCCTTCCTCCTCAGACCTGCAAAATGCATGAGTGACGGTGGCATTGTTGAAATTTCTGGGGGCACCAGGGATGCAAACAGTTTTTTCAAGGGGCAATGGTCCTTGGATTTGGTGTTTATTTATTGGTCATTTCAGGATTATGAGTGGGGCATGCACCCAGGGGATAAGGGCACTGGGGGTGACACCACTCTGAGGGTTGGAAGTTATGGCCACCGTATGGCTGACGAGTATGGCGGACCAAGATCTGCAATTGAATGCTTGATACCACGGCCTCGTGTTGGGATTAGCCAGCACACTGTATTTCTGCCTCGTCCCCACTTTTTTTTTTGCCACTTTCTCCCTTCCCTGACCCGTCCCCCCAGGAACCCAGCTCTGGAGGACCAGGCCTGTGACCGGATCTACCGCGTTGGGCAGACCAACAATGTCTCCATCCACAAGTTTGTCTGCCGAAACACCATCGAGGAGCGCATCCTGGAGCTGCAGAAATCAAAGTCCAAGCTGGCATCCGACGTGCTGTCAGGGTAAGTCCTTCCGTCCGTCTTTGTGGTGATTCTGATCGTCCGTCAGTCTCTCTCTCTCTTTGCTCTTAAAGGACTCCGTAAAACATGCTGGTGTGTAACTTTGAGGTCTGTCTTTTTTTTTCCCGTGACAGAGCAAGATCTCAGAGTCAGAAGCTGAGCTTAGCCGACCTGCGTTTCCTCTTTGGCGTCAACTAAACAAGGCAAGGCAGTCAGACTTATCTAATCAATGTGTCTTGTGCCCGGCAGAGGGACATTTGGGCAACATGGCATCCACTAGTTATTAACCTCCATAACCTTATTTATTTTTCTTGGAAGCGAGTAATCTTGATCTACACATTGATTTTTATGTATCTGATCTCAAAACCCTTTGTAAAAAAGGAGCACGGAAAACTCAAAATAAACTGTTATTTTTTTTTTTCAAAGAGCATATACATTTATACGTAATACACTGACCTTAATTACTCCCTATTACCGGGCATATGACAGGTTGTTGTGAAGTGAAAGACTTATATGAAATTTAAAACCACACCCTTTCATGTAAAAAAATGTATTTTTTGAAACTACTTGTATCATGTTCACAATGCAAAAGAGGTTATCTCTTTCTGAAACTCGTAAATGAACTTGATAATTTGAAGATTCAAGTCTTATCTTTATCATGGATGTGAAATATTTTGGGTGTTATTGTTATTGCTATGAAACCTCCGTTTCATATCTTATTCATTCAGTAATTTTAATTAATGCAACACCTGCATAAATCCCCGTCATCTGATTGGTGGATCGTTGATCACATGCATTGAATTATTTGTACCAACAAACAGCTGCTGCCCGACGCCCGCAGCATCCAGGCAGAGTGTAAACTAATTCTAACAGGGTACGTTAGAAATGAATAACGAACACCTCCGGATCGATTGCACTGCAGCTTCTAGTGGCGCAAGTTTCTCAATGGCAAAATGACAAGCGATCAAGCTCTGCCGTTCACAATTCTAGGAAATAATTAATAAGAACTTGTTTTTGTAAGTAATGCTGATGCTGCCAACATAAGGAAACAGATAAAATGCTGCACAACTGGACAACTTCCAGTTTGAATGGGTTAATTAATCCAGCTATACTCAGAAAATCAGATGACAAGGATTTATACAGGTGTTGAATAAAACAAATAACGAACGTTTTGCATTTGTGCAATACCAAGGATAATTGCATTCGGTGACAGATGAAACAGTCTATCCTATTCGGCTTCACCTCCTGGAACAGACGGTTTCATCAGTCACCTCAAGCAATTATTCTTACCGTCGCACTCTGAAACATTACATGTATTTGTACAGCGGCAGGACTTACATGTGCTATCGCCCAAGTTTGAACTTAGAACTTTTAGGTTCTATAATTTGTGAGTTTATGCAAAAACATGAAAAGCTTCCAAACATGGAAATACACAAGTATTACTCTGGTCTGAATGCAATGTCCTATCCTTCACATAACTGTTGCTTATATTTTTATTCATATCGGATATACAGTTACTTGTACAATAGCTTTTTTTTCCCTGCAAAACTCAAGAAAGAAGCAAATACACAGCTCCTAACGCCAAACCACAAGAATGCACCCAAAAAAAAAACACACTGGACAAACTCTTCTCAGATCGCTCGAGAGACATTTATTGATATTCAAGATGTAATATGCAGAATGCCCCAAAAAAGGGACAGTTTACAGGATTTCTGTCCATTCGGCGAGCTGACGGCCTACAGCAAGCATCGTACCGCTTTATACGCAAATTATCACAGTTGGAGCAGATTTTGTAGAGCTTCATTTCCCGCAAATTGATAATTGGTCCAGTCACAGTGTCTTAACCTCAAGATATCTCATGAGCTCTATTCGTATACACTGCCCCTGCCCCCCCCATGCCACATCCAGTCAGCAAAGATTCTTAGCATGCTATCATTTGTGTGAACTAGTGATGCACACAGAAATTGGTCTCACTTCTAGACTAGTCCCTGCCTCCTCCTTTTACCACATTCTACAACGTGATGGGAGTGCCGTGAGCCAGCCCACTTGGCCCTCATTGTTACTTGTTGTTTCACTGGTGTGCAAAGCAATGATTACAATGATCTGAGCTTGTGTAAACCAGTGACAGGTTTGCACTCAGATGGGCCTCACCGCTATGAAACATGGCATTCTTTTTGCACCAGACTCCTCTTAAAATTGATGACGCTTACAGGGTTTTCACAGATTGCTTACTGCATTTCGTATTTACAGACACAAAAAACCCCCAAACAAACCCCATAAATGCAAATTATATTGTCGACATGCAACATGTACAGTATACATTCTGAACACCAGATAAGTTCCTTCTTTTTGGTTGAATAAAAAAATAAACCTGTTACTGGAAAATAAAACTGCACATGTTCTTGTAGAGGTACCACAAACCCAACTAAGAAAAAGCAACAAAATTCAAATAATTAAATCTCCTCTTTTACTTTTACAAAATGAAATGGAGCAAAAACCAAACCTGACCCAACTAACTACTTGCAACTCCAAACTGACAAACCTCCAATGCAATGTGAGGTTTCTTGTTGGAAACTGAACGGCAAAATGGTGATCAACTTTGTTTTACCACCAGCGCTGCAACCGAAAATGAAATACAACAAAAAGTTTTTAAAGAAAGCGTAATGAAAACCAAACACCCGCATCTTTTTCTAACGGCAAATACGAGACGAAAAGGGGACACAAAATGCAACAAAATTCCCCCCCCCAAAAAAAATCTGTTACCATCTTGTACCACACTATATTCAGATGGTACCACCAGGCCCCCAAGTGACGCCTTGCGAACTTCAATGAACCTCCTCAAGATACACATCTCAAACAGACCTACAAATTAACAACGTCCTGTCGTTACCAGCTTGTCAAAAAAAATATAAAGACGACCTCAAAACGCCTCTCAAATATAGCATATTTGTAATGTGAATATCAAAAAAAGACCTGAATATACAACTTCACCTTGTATCTGAAAAGCCTTGCAGTCGAAAAGTATCCGCCTCAAACTTATTTTTAAGGATCTAGTATCTTTGTTCTTCTAAACTGACATTTGGTTTGGTTTTTTTTTTGCATTGTCAAGACTTGGTACATATAAATCTGTGAGTATCTGGCGAGTATCTGGCGAGAAACAGCTCAAGTTTGGTTAAATCCTGAAGGTTTTGATGTCAGAAAATAAACAAGGAACCCTGATAAATACTTTTATTTACGATACATTAAGTACGCACCAATAATCTGATGATGTCATGGAAATGTACACTTGAGTAAAGGAGCACATCTTGGCACTATACCCTTGATACAAGAAATGGAAATGCTCCCTACGTGTTGATTACGTAGTTCGCTTTTTGCAAGGACGCGCTTTGAAATAACATCAGTGTATGTACACTGCACCAAATATGACCAACCGATGTGTGTGTTGTAGTCAAGTACTTTTTCAAGAGGGCTAAGTACTGGAAAAATTTACTGTGGCTGTAGTCAACTACGCGTTCACAAATACAAGTGCTACTGTGTTTTCCCAAAGTGCAGTTCACTTTCCTTTCTGGACAATTTGCAAGTATTGCCCTCAACTGACTGGTGAGCGGGCAAGCTCTCTCTCTCTCCTCGGACCATACCTTGGCCAAGTTTTCCGAAACTGATCATAGATCATTACAAGAGGCCAGTGGGTTTTTTTTTTTGGTCTAGTTTCAAAGCTCTCAAACAAATGCGGGGAAATCAGGCACAACTCGCTCGGCCAAGACGACCACAGAAGTGACTGTGAGGAGGGATTTGAACCCGAGACCCCCAGCACACCGTTCTTGCCCACAACCAATCGGGCTTTCCAGTTTCCTCGTCAATATCACTCTCATAACGTTCAACTCAATGTGAATGTTTCTATAAATGTATACGCTGTTTGCTGTCATGCCTTTCGTGCACATGTACAGATGGTACAGTCGACACTGCACAGTAGACTTCTTGCCCTAGGCATTATATACACCAGATTTTTTTTTAACACATGTACATGTATATTTACAAGCGGCACAGTCTGAGAAATGAATATCGACCATGGAAGTGAGAGTCGGAAAATTATACATCACAGAAGTCACTACCCTTATTGAGAATAATTGGCTTAAGGTATGGCACACATTGCAAACGGGATGTTTTCGTTGGCTGTGACATTTCAGCTGTACAGAGCTTTATAAGCATCTAATTCAAAAATAAATCAGGACGTTGCAGAACTTTGACCAAAAAAAAAAGGAGACGTTTAAAAGCAAATTGCTCAGGCTATTCTGGACCAACATTCCATAGATGAAATTCGTCCCCTTACAACTCCCTAGGGTGATCTACTCCATGTGGCAACCTTTCGCATCCTTGAAAATCCAAACACTGTATGGTAAACTGTGCACATAAATGTATCATTGTAGCCAGTGCAGTGCTCATCCCGACAATTCCTACAACCCTGGTGTTGGAGTTTGACTGGGTTGGGTTAACATGCACTTCTTTGGTATACTTTATGTGTGTGCAATCAAACCTGTCAGAGTTTGTACACGATTGTCGTGTTAACAAGTGTATTATTTGATGCAGAAAAAAAAAAATCATATCAGCCTGCTCTTTCCCAAGCATGGGTCTCCACGGTCTTGCACATTTCTGTGGCAGCAAAGATGGCTGCCACCTGTGGCCACCTGCACACAAGAACCTCTCCCATTGGGCAAATTATATCAGTTACATATCAACAATAAATTGCTTAAAATTACCAGCTGCGTTTCAGAATCCATAATAATAATAATAATAAAAAACAAATCAGGTAACGATAATTTTTGTTCTTGCTTTAGGCAGATCTTTATCCCGTGGCTTAAGTTCCAGAAATCAGAACAGCCGTAAAAGAAAGGCAGTTTCAAACTTGACACCGAGAAGGAATGACCAACCTGATTGATACGCCGATGGTGACCAGCTGGGCTCAAAAATCAAAGCCTTACAAACGACGATGTTAAAATTGAGTCTCCTTTCCAATATTCTCTCACATACTGTGATGATCTAATGCAAGTCCAAAATAAATACATGTAGTAGTTTTTAACAGGTGTTAATTTTTTTGCTGTAAGTTCCCCTTTTCATATTAGGTCGTAACGAGCGGTCCACACCTTGGGTTTAGATTGCCACTGGATATAAGCACCCACCTGCACCGGACGTCATGGTTTATACATTAAGGGCACCACGGGAGAAACAAATGGTGAAAAAGCCTAACGCAGTCTGCAGTCGGAAGAAATTTCAGGTCTGGAAGGGGGTGACCTGGAACATGTAGCATCGGTTGCAGACGCGGACTGGGCTGAGCTGGCCGTAGCGCGGCAGGGGGACCGAGTTGGCCGAGCAACGAGCGCAGAAGATCTGCAAAGGGAACAGACCAGACCTCAGTGAAGGACTTCCACTTTCAAAACGTGTTAGGGGCCCAATTGTGAAACAGCCAAACCTAGCATCTCTTGACCAACGTGAAAATCAGGTTAATTGGGATATGAGGGGATATAGAGGCTTTTCAGTCACATTAGTTTTGACAGTCGGCGTTCAATTGACACAAATGTGCGTGGAAACGCGCGCACCTTAGAAGTCTCTTAGTATTCTGACAGATATGGAAATGCCAACAGAAACAAACAGATTCAAAAATGGGCACACGTTCACAGACATGGTACACCTTCTGAAATGCCTCTGCCGGTCATGTTACCTCGCATGAAAAATCACTATTTACTGAAACTTGCATGAAAAAAATGACACTGCATGGGCCCTCTCAATCTTCCTTGTGTGCTGCTGGTTCACAGACACACCGACACACACACTGCACTAACCCACGCTCCACGAGCTTTCCCCTCTCAACCTCTCTCCCGCCCACCTCATCCGACTGCCCCCACCCACCCCCTCCTCTCTCCCCACTCAAGACGGTACCTTTCCGCAGTTTCTGCAGTGGTGTTTCCTCCTCAGCATGGTGAATACAGCCTTGCAAGATGTGCACTCGGTGGCGCTGTCGTCGGGAACCCACAGCGGTGGTTCTGACAATGAACAAAGAATGGGAGCGAGTCACCATCCTACTCAAGGAACTCACGAGATGATCCACTACCAACCCAAAGCTGACATTCACTAAATAGTGACCTGATACACTTGGAACAGCTCTCAACTCAAGGACTTTCATGGTCCAGAAACCCGATGTTCGGGGACCAAACTCCTGTCAATATTGATGGTTTACTGGTGGTCATTTTTATCTGTACCAAACGTAAGAGCGTTGACTTATCACGGGACAGGGATCCACTACTGATGGTGAATTTCGCCAGTTGACGACATACTTTTTCACCCGTTGTCAAATAACTTCATACCTTTATCATAAAAAGTAAATTCTCGAGGGCTTTCAAGGACCTTACGAGCCTTGAGTATCATGTGAAACCAGTGAAAAATGTGTACCTTGGTAAGTGGCGGCTCTTCGGTTTCTGGAGCCACTGCGATGTCTCCTTCTTTCTTTCTGCTCTGAGGATGGACCCGCTACCTTGGACGTACCCTCAGACAAGGCTCCTTCACTTGGCCCATTGCTGCTGACAACGTCTCCAGAGACACCATCAGAGCTGTTGTCATGTGCAGACCCTTCAGCAGACGACAAGCTTTCTGTGGGGTCTCCCGAGACATCGGCCGAGCCCTGGATTTCAGAATTTGCATTCGAGGGGATGCTGCCCACCGCGGCTGTCCTTTCGGTATCATCCGCTCCGCCCTCGAAATGGACTCGGCCATTTGCGGGTGACGTACTCCCGGAGGCCACGTCATTTCCGGCGGCATCCCCGTTGCTTCTGCCGGCGCCCTCTTGTGGCAGCCCTTCCGGGGAACTGCCACTCCCGCTGGCATCATCTGGGGTAGCGAGGCAGGGTTCCGAGGCACACATGATGAAAACATTCTTGAGGATGTTGCGGAGGTCACTGGCGTAGTTTGTCTGGAGCTGGTCAGCAACACCTTAGAAATAAGAAACAGAATCGCAAACTTCATTTATTCAGTCAGACAGTAGTTTGAAAGTCTCCGTATGATTCACATATAAAATTCAACAACTGATTTCAACACAAGGCTGACAGTATATTAAGACAAAGCTGCAGAAAACTCACAAGCCCTCCACTTTGAAGGTTTCTCACATTTTAACTTGGAGACAAACATCAAATGTACAGAACCTTTCTAATTGGGCAGCTTTATCAAGGCACTGACAACTTTTTTTTTCAGTTTTCCAAATTTCGGCTCCATCTCTGGCTTTGCCCGATTTTCATGTTCACTTTCAAGCAAGCAGCGCAGCAAAAAGCCATGTTGTGCAAAAAGAACATCAAGCTGAACACTGTCAACCCAGAAATGGAAGCATTTTCATTTTAATTGGAACACTACCAACCTATAAGATGTCTGATGGCAGCGCCTGAGACAAAGTGAAGCTCACGTTTAATCCCTCTCCTCTCGACACGCTTACCTGCGATACAGACAAAAAGTCGGTGCACCAGGTCGCTGGAGCTGCGGAAGTGCGACCTCATCTCCTGCCTGGCGGCAACCTCCGCTGCCTCAATCGCCATGGCGATCTCCAGCTCGTCATTGTTCTCAGACAAGTAGGAAGTGCTGTCGCTATCACTACAGAGGATCAAACGAGAAGGATGAGTGATACAGAATGAGGTGGGTAGTGGCTACCAAAAACAGCCTCCCATACTTTCCAGAAGAGCCTGTTACATTTTACCCACATTTGGCGTTTACTACCCCTTACCATCAAGCCAATGAAAAATTCTGGACCTATTGCAAGAGTATTATATATGGCCTAAGTATAGTATATTGCCTTCTTCACAGACATGTACAGCCAAATTTATGAACATGCAAAACTAGAACCACCCATAAAAAAGAGGCTTCTTTAAAAACAGTTTTTAATAGTACGGCATTTTGCTCTGATCGTCAATGTTCTTCAGATCCACGGGTCAGAATGTCTTCTATGGAAAACAACAGGTGGACTGCCATCAGTACCTGCCGTCTGATTCCCACTGGTAACTGCAAATGTCGTCATCGCCTCCGCAGCATGATGAGGAGCAGGAGCTGGAGGAGCCCCCGTCGTCCCTATCACACTCAGGGAGGTCACAGGAGCCCGGGTTTGCGGTCCGCCTCACCCCACGACTCCCCTCTACTCTGTTGATTGCACTTGCCGAGATGCCCCCGTTGGGGCTGGACGCGCGGGACAACTCCTGGTCCGAGGACCTGTGGCCGGAGCCGTGTCGGATGCGCTGAAGGAAGGAGGTTGCCTCATTCTGTCCATTGGGTGAGGGCGTGTCCAGGGAGCCCTGATTGGTTATCCGGTGCGTGGGGGATGCCGTCCCTTCGTTGGCAAAATCAGAATGGTGTAGATTGTTGACCGTGGGACTAGTTCTAGCACCAACCAAGCTCAGCTCCGTGCTGGGTTTCCCTTTCCCGAAGCTGGAGAACTTTGGAGCAAACTCGTTCCCCGTGGGGGATGTGACTGCCAGGGGGCGGGCAGGGCCACTGGGTGAGGCCACCTGGGTTCCGGTGTCGATTCTCAGAGGGTTGTGGTGGGCCTTGCTGCTGTGCGGCACTGACCCACTGTTCTGAACCTGGACAAGGCCCTCCCCTCCATTCATGCCGATCTCGACACTGCTGGGCAGCATGGGTGGGACGTTAATGAATAAGTCCATCATCTCAATCTCGGGGGCGGAGCCCAGCCCACTGTCTTCCCGGGTCAGGCGCGGTGGGTGGTTCTCTCCGTGGGCCGGTTCCAAGTCGTCGAGAATTGGCACTTCGCTGGGAGTGGAATTCACTTCATTGTTAGAGATTCGGCGTCCAAAAAAGTTGTTGTTTGCCAGATCCCCGTTTCGGAGTTCGTTGAGATGTGGTGGTAAGCCATGATCTGGCGTAGAGGAGGACGCTCCTTGCTCCACGTCCTGGGCTGCACAGTTTTCCCTTTCATCCTTTGACTCGGCAATCGTAGACACCTTGCTGTCACAGACAGTCACTTCAGGCGCCGCGTCCCTTTCAGAGGCTTCCGAGGGAGTCTCCAGCCCACCACTGGCTGCCATCTCGGCCAGCGGCTCCTGGCCGGACTCTGAGAAGCTCAGCCGCTGCATGAGGAGGTCCGCCCCCTCGGGGGTGGAGAGGAAGCTGGAGCTGATGACCGAGCACTCCGTCATGAGGCTATCGCAGGGTGACAGGCAGATGGAGTCTGGGTTGCGGCTGGTGCGGCGGGAGCGGCCCCGTGGGGGCGTGTCGTAGGACAGACTCATCTCGTTCAGCTGGCGTTCAATGACCTCCCACGAGTCCTTGGTGCTACACAAGGCCTTCTCCAGAAGATGCAGTTCCTCCTCATGCAGGGTTTCCAGTAATTCCCTACAATTAAATATTGACACACATATAACAAACAAAATTTCTTAGGTGTAGTTTAACCCTATCGTCTTTCTGATACGTTAGAACATGACAGAAACCCGACAGATTACGTGAAGAAGTCGAGAACTATAAGAGCCCCGAGCTGGACCAACAGAGGGTGTCGCTACCAGCAAACTGAACATTCCCGACCAACATGGCTCTTTTCAACCGATGCTTCTGCACCGGGGGTGCTTCTGCCCAAGGCGGATACTGCGTACAGATAAGCACTGCCCTGAGGAGGCCAAAGCGCATATGAAAGTGCAGTGAAATGCAGATAGCATACTCTTCTCCAAATTACAATGTACTTGGGAGGGTTGTGGCCTAACTCTAAGCAAAAGTGCAGCAGCAAACAGACAACAATATTGTGATGAGTTTTTTATTAGGCTCCCAAGTTTTTGTAGATTCTACTCTGCCATTATTACTTGAGTGGGCAATGCTGTCCAGTCACCACTCATGAAAAGAAACCAAAATAGTTCAGTGAACAATCAAGAAAGCATAGGAACACCCGAGCTAGCGCTCTTACTTGATTTTGAGCAGTAAACCCTGGAATGGTCTGAAGAGCTCCGAGATGTTCCGCGAGTCCCTTTCCATATTCAGAGGTCCATCCGGAAAAATCAGCAAACCACTGGAATTTTGAAGTGGGTGATAACAAATCACACAAAATATGCCAAGTAAAAAGGAGGTTAGTGCACGCATACATTATATTTGAAACACCTCCATGAATATGAAACATCCAAAAACATAATAAGCATCACCAAATAAGCATCATTAAAATTCTGGATTATAAAGATGAACGAAGAAATTGACTGGAGCAGGATATGAACCTGCAATCTTGTGTAATTGGGGCACGATCCCTGGCTATATGGTGTGCCAGGTTTATATGGCTCCGGGCTAGCGCCCCCCGAACAGAGATATTGACAAGTGGGAAGAGCCACCAACATAGGGCTGAATAGCTCAGTTGATAGAGCACCCGTACGGTATTCCAGAGGTCGCAGGTTCAAATCTCGCTCCAGTCAATTCCGTTGTTCATCTTTATAATCATTTTTAAGCACCTAGTCAGTTTTCCTATATAGTTTGTTTCATTAAAATTCTCGGCAGTTTTCCACATTGAGATTCAACACCTGTGGCACCAAACGGTCTTACTAAATTTGGGTAGAGTGCAGTCACCCAGTTCAAACCTAACAACGCCTTGAAGTAATTTACAGTGCTTTTGGAGCACGTTTGTGACCCTGACTACTGCTTGAGTTGAAAAATGCTATCGAGACAGGTTGACTTCTGCTACCTGACTATGACCAGTCTGGGGATGGTGAACATCAAGGCGGGGTCGTAGTCGTCCACTCTTTCCTGCGTGATGTATCCCAGCTTCAAAGCCCTAGAAAAACACATCCACAAATACAAAAAAGGGGATAATTTAGATTCTAAAGGCCCAGGATATTTTTCTCTGAATCTTCCCAAATCCTCCATAAACATTAGACTGTACAGAAATCTATCGGTGCATTTTGTTTTTACTTAAACTTTTATGAGACATCAGACCCAGAGTCAAAAGCTGGTGTAGGTTTTTAGGGGGGGACACGTGGATGTAAAAAAATGCCATGGACCACAGCAATCAGTAAATGTTAATGCGCCAATTAATTCAATCCACTTTGATGCCTTTAAAACTGAGCAGCCGAGGGCAAATTCGAGCGACGTCTGCTTGACAACCACTGGCAGATTTTTTTCCCTGGTAGCCTGTTAACTCGACCAGTGGTTGAGAAACAGTCGTCGATCAAACTCGATTTCAAGGGCAAAGTAACGGATGGGCACTAAAATATTACCCTAAGATAACAAACAAACTTCTCGGTATGAGTTCAGGTTCCCACTGACCTTTCGATGGTCTCCGAGAACAGGATGATGACATCCTGCTGAGTGTCATATTCCCATGCCGTCTTGACGGGGACCATGGCACTGACGTAGCTCAGCTCAAACTCTGCAAACACCTCGTCAAACTTCCGCAGTCCCTCTTTAACCTGTGAATGGTATGCACGCCTTTAACATCAGTCTTTCTCTCACGAACATCAAAGTCTTATCAGTCCTGAGGTGAGTGATTGAAGATGTGGTGATGCTTTACACCAGGAGTACTCGGATGAGTAACTATCACTCATACTGCTGGATTCGTAACTTACTGAGATTGACTCACATTAGGATGTTGATCCCGTGTCTTGTGACCAGTCTAGTGTCTGGTCTAGTGATGGACAGAAAATGCAAACTAAACTAAGAAAACTGACTTTCAAAAAAACCACTCTGGCACACAAACTCCCTCCGACATTACCTTGTCGCTGTAGTGGTTCAGGTTCTTGTAGCACTGCTCTCTCAGGATGCTGCGTAGCACGTCCAGACTTCGGGTCAGCCCTCTGGCCAGTGGCCGAAGCGCGGCACTCTCAATCTCGCGATTCATGATGGTTGTACCAGCAGCCAAGCACTGAATAGTGGAGGGGTGGAATGGTCATTTGGAAATACTATTTTTGAAGTCACCATTTTACCTACTGAATGACTGATTCCTATTGTGTTTGCACAAACACAGAGGCTCAGGACAAGTGGGTCGAGGGTGTAAGAAGCCTTTAAACAGCTATGGGCCACTGCAAGGTCTTGCAGAAATGTCATTCCCCGACACTGTCGCAGTGTCAAAAAGCAGGATGATCAGGATGCAGTAAGAAATGTGACACAAATCTCAGCCAAATGAACATCAACACTCTGCAATGCAAAGTCCAACGATGCAAAGGACTGTGGTCGTGACATCTTGTCAATTTTGAAAAGTTGGTAGTCTGGGCCAAAAATAATACTTTGCCTGAATCAATTTTGGTATGGAGTAAAACCCTCTGGGGGTGGTTGACAAAGGAAAGCCTGGATTTCAACTTCTTTGCTCCCTGTCTCCCCTCCCCCGCCCCAAATTACACGAGCACCAAGTGAGCTTGGCGACCATCACCAATTCCAAAAAAAAAAAAAAAGGGGTCGGTGATGACGAGTGAGAATCCCTCACCTCTGCTCCAAACCACAGCTGGCCGGCCAGCCCGTCCTGCAGGACATCGTCAGGAAACTTGGCCCGGAAGTCCCGATTGGCCCGCTCCTCCGCGATGGCGTGCTCCATCATCTGCTCCACAATAGCTGAGCAGGAAAACAAACATGAAGACAATTCAAAAGCACACCTCAACCATAAATTATACTTTGTACAGTATCCATCTACTCATCTGACTTAATGTTGACCAGTAAGATTTCCATAAGTACTATGTTCGAATTCCTTCTGTTAAGTTTTTGAACTTTTCCCAAGCTCTCTGAAAACTCAGAGTACAGAATGCAAAATTCTGCTTCCAATGTGTTGTGATGCCAAATTCACTTACCGTTCGCATTCAAGAATGGTCCTCAAAAGAGTTTTTTTTAAATTACAGTAAAATAAAAAAATCAGCAAAACACTCCAAAAGGCAAACAAAGAATCAATCTACAGACCCAGCACTTTGTCCTGGCAAGCTCTGAGCTGGTTGACGAGCAGCATGCACCTCTCTGGGTCCTGCCTTCCATCGAAGCTGTCCAGTTCCTGCGACACCGCATTCAGCTCTTCGTCACTAAAGTAGAACTGGGCTAGGAGCTGATTGTCAGTTTTCTGGAAGACAACAAGAATACAGAACCCTGTCATGAAAGTGCAAGGCAGGAAACTGGATGGGTAAACGTCTTACAGAAGCAAGGAACGCAGTTTGTAGCCTTCATGACCCCAAATACAATGTATGTATGAACCTACCTCCAAAACCATTTTCAGAGAGGGGAAAACATTGTATGGACCTGTGCGAGTCCACACAAGGTCTTGAAACCATATGTTGTGTGGACCTTCTTTCATTCGGAGGTCAACATAAGGTATATGTATGTAAGGCTGGCGTACAGACATACCGGTACACAAAGCAAAACAGTTTGGCCGGCAACCTACATATGCCAAGTGAAAGCAAGGACAGCAAATGTACAGTGCATGCTGAACCTACTTCTAAGCCGGAGCTCTAGGAAAGTGGCCCTACAATGTACCTGCGGACAATATACGCTCGACCTGTACCAATCATAATTTACCTGTGCAGGTTTAGGTTTTATTGTTTGCATACATCTCGTGGCCTGACGGCCAAATTACATGTACATGTATGTTACACATTAAAAAGTAGAAACTAACACCAATTTAAATTACATTAAACAAAAAATAAAAATTGAAAAACACACATGATGATGGACTTCTTGAATCTCGTGGTTCCACAGCGACTTTGTGAAAGCTTCTGACTATTTCTCAGCTGTCTTCTG